AGATAATCGATGCCAATGGCAGCACCTGTACCTTCCGGTGCGCTCGCAGTCTCGACTATACGCAACGTTTAGTGGCTTTCAATGACGGCTATGGTATCCTGAACTTCGAAGTCGATATCGTGCCCAAGAGAGTACTGGCGATAAAGGCTGATAGACTGCGACCGCAGTCGCATAACTGGTGCTCTATCCGGTCAATGATGAACAACTTTGGCCGCCAACCACTTGCAGCGGCTGCCTGTGCAGCACCGGTAGTCACGCCCACTACTAGTCCTCCGCAGTTGACGTCGTCAGCGGCGGTTAAATATGAGTACAATTACGCCATTGATATCCAACACATTCCCGAGGACTACGACCCGGAGTCGCCGCCAAAGACATCCCACCAATTGATACAGACTTTGATACCGAAGAATAGGCAACAAATCATTGACCGAATGGTCGAATACTGGCCCCAAGTATTCGGTGATAAGAAGATTGACTATAAAGTCACCCAAAAGGGTATTGCTTGCGATTGTCTGCTGGATATCAGTCTTGTGGGAAAGACTAGTCATTATGTAAGCCTTGTTTTGAATGGCTGTAAGTCGGAGGAAGTGTTTGAATGTACTGTCGAGTACTTGTCGTCGACTCCCGTGCCGTTGGAACCAATGACACAACCTCTGGAGACAAGCGATGGTAAGGGTTTTTTGATTTTATTGAGTTTTTGGTATTTATTGACTGTTTTGTTGATAATTACAGACAATAAAGTGGTTAACGAGTCGACTGACCATCAAATGACCGATCAATCGGATCTCAAGACTGAAGCAGTGGTTGATATGGATGTCCAGTCTGTGTCCACGACTTCTGTATCGGTAGAAACGCCACAACGTCTTAATGGTAAGGGTTTGAGGATTTATTGTCAATTGTTTGTCTGATTTAACATTTATTGTGTATTTTGTTGATTAAAAAGTGTATCAAAAGTTGGAAGAACTTCATAAGAAAATAGAATCGGATCTCATATCTGTGACCTATGATCTATGGGTCCACCAAAACCAACAGTCCATCACTTCTGTGCCCTTGGAATCAACACAACCTCTTGAGGTCATCGATGGTAAGTGTTTGTAATTTTATTGTCATTTGTTGTATTCATTGACTGTTGATTAGCAGATAATAAAGCGGTTAACGAGTCGACTGACCATCAAATGGCGGACCAATCAGATCTCAAGTCTGTAGAAGTGATGGCAACGGATGTCAACTCTTTCTGTACGACTTCCGGATCTATTGAAACGCCACAACTCCCTAAAGTCATCAATGGTAAGGGTTTTGTGATTTAATTGTCTATTGATTTTGTATTTTATTATAAATTGTTTGTAATTTGCAGACAATAAAGTGATTAACGAGTCGACTGACCATCAAATGG